TTTTCACCTCTCTGCTGTCCTCGGCACACTACCATATTCTACTGTTGGAGAACAATTCTGATGCGAAACTATTCTAAGTGAAAAAACTGAGGAGACAGAATAATCAGTAGGATGAAGTGCTACTCATTTTCTTGGTTTACACTAGATATGAATATACTAAATCCAATTATGTAAGAAAAACATATAACAAAAATGTATTTCTTTTTTAGATGTATTTATGGGGAAGTAGTTAACATGAAAGAACCTGAACAATGACCCAGAAAAAAAAGAACTGAAGAACTGCAAAATTATTCAGGAGCGTTATAAAAGACCCTCAATTTCATTTCTAGCTCGAACGTCAGCCTTGTCGAAAGACTGAATACACCTCCACAGGTATTTAATTTCCATCAGCATTGACTTGGTGACTTACACTGAACCCATTTAAAAATAAGATTATTTATTGTAAGGTTGCGCAGTGGTTAAAGCACTCCGCCGCCAACCTAAAGGTCAGTGGTTTGAGTCCATCAGCTGTTCTGCAGGAGAAAGACGTGGCAGTTTGCTTCCATAACGATTTACAGCCTTGGAAACCCTAGGGGCAGTTCTCCTTTGTCCTGTAGGGTCGCTATGAGTCGGAACCGACTCCACGGCAGTGGGTTTTTGGTTTTCTTCCCTTAATCACAGGACTTGATGATTAAGTTTTGGTGCACAGATTCATTGAGTCAGAATGAGAACATTAATGAAGTTACTCACTTATTCTGAGACACACAGAACAATGTAACTATAGAGCCAACAGAGTGAATTAAGCGTCATCTTACCGTGCACTAACTGTAGCACACATTAGCACGTCATTTAACATGAAGATCCGACGTTCTTTGGTTTTAACGATTTCTCCTCTGTCATTGTAAACTGTTTCTATCATATCATCAGATCGAATGAGGTATCTATTCCCACTGCTGAGAAGCTGAGTATTCAAAATAACACTTGACAAAGTTACCACAATTGATTTTACCAAGAAAAAAAAGAAAGATAAGAAAAAAGTGTTGCAAAACATGAGTTTATAGTGTTAACATTACACAGTTTTTCTTTAAAGATAGTCCACATATCCCCACCCACTCCTATACTCTCACTCACTTCAGTATGTATATACATACAAGTTCAGAAAGGGACTTTTTTTTATTTTACTAAATGTCCTACAAACATCAATGTTTGCAGTTATTCCAAACAGTGATAGGATCTAACTTTCTTCCTGTAAACACAATTTCTATAGCTAAAACACTGACTGAGCAAAGAAAAGCTTTACTTATTTTTACCTATCATTCAACATATAACTTCTCTTAAAATGACTTCTCTGAAGATATGTTTTATTCACTACAGATTCTCACTCCACGGTTAACTATTCTGTTATTTATAACACTGTACCAATTAGAAATCTTTGTAAGTGAAAACAATTATTTTTGTAATTTTCCTTTTACCAAAGGATGGCATAATTAACACATTAACTTTTCATGGTATGCCATATTTTACTCTGCTGAGCCAAATATAATATCATTAGTTCTTTGGAAAGATGCTTTGTACTAATTAATAAAATGATAACAATCATAGAGAAGACATTCTTATTAAACAAATCAGCCAAATAGAAAATTTAGAATTCTTAGCCCAGATGATCTCTAAGGCCTTCCGATCCTAAATCCACATCAGCTGTCTAGCGCTAAGCAATCAATGTAGATACCATCCCACTGTTTAATTTTTCTCCACATGCTCATAGGAGTAATGAAGTCATGTACATACACATTTATGTACTATAAGTAATGCTTCGCCACTCTTTATATATGTCACAGGCTTACTGTGTATGAAATGGGTATTCAAACACTGTAGGTAAGCATTATTTTACATAACATATAAGCTACACTGAGAGTATAATTTAATGAAAATTTCTGCTTATAAAAATTGCTACGAAAATCATTTGGAGAATCATAGAAAGCTAAAAGCTGTGGCTTAAAATGATACTACAATACAGTTCTCATAGTTAAATTACTAAGTGGCATTATAAGGTAGGAAATCACCCCTACTGACAAAAATAAAAGGTGACTTTAGCAACACCGAACATCATATATAATTATTTAATACTGTTCATACAAACTAAGGAGCCCTGCTGGTGCAGTGGTTAAGAGCTCGGCTCTTAACCAGTAAGTTGTCAGTTCGAATCCACCAGCCACTCCTTGGAAACCCTATGGGGGCAGTTCTACTCTGTCCTATAAAGTCACTATGAGTTCGAGTCAAGTCAATGGCAGCGGGTTTGGTTCTTTTATACAAAGATCTTCCCATGAGTCAGGGACTTAAATAAATGTGGTAAAGCCTACATGAAGTGGGATTACAATTGTAGGAAAATGAATTTGTAAATATCAAGCTGCAACACAGCCTTGCAAATGAACCGTTTTCCTGCTGTCTTATGCATCGTTTTTTCATAATAACATGCGCAGATGAGTGCAAATAAAAATATCTGTAATTATTTTGAGCTTTATTATTATTATCTAAAATAAAATACTGCATTTCGAAAGTAAAACTAAGCTAAGAGAGTTGTTCTCAACCTTTTTGAGGTTCTAGATCCATTTGAGAATCTAATTAATCTATGAACCTTTTTCCTGAAAACATGCACATACATACTAATAATTCAAGCCTTGTGAGTAATTTTTACCTGAAGTTCTCCTAGAAAAAACCCAAACCCACTGCCATCAAATTGATTCCGACTCATAGTGACCCTACAGGACAGAGCAGAACTGCCCCATAGGGTTTCCAAGGCTGTAATCTTTACAGAAGCAGACTGCCACATCCTTCTCCTTCAGAACGGCTGGTGGGTTTGAACAGTCAACCTTGTGGTTAGCAGCCGAGCACTTGAACCACTGTGCCACCATGGCTCCTCTTGAAGCTCTGCATCAACCCCTAATCAGGAACTCTGGGCCATGAGAATTAACAACATTTCAAAAAAAATTAGTGATAAATGGCTGAAATCAAGTGATGGTTTATTAGTATAAAACAAAATTAATTCAAGATAGAGTTGAAAAAAATCTCTTTCCACCTTGTTCAGGTATCTTTCATTTATGGCTTTTGCTATTTGTTTAATTTCACAGCGTTGATCAGCATCTCTTTTCCTTTCATTTAATTTCTCTGCTAATGTTTCGAGCTCTGTGAGCGCCATCTGAAGAGGAAGCCTGTCAGGATGTCCTTTGGACGTGTTCTTCAACATATCCTTTGAGAAACAAGGAAAATGGCAGACTGTGATTTCTGATGTCAAGGGGAGTAGGCAGTTATCACATGTAAACTTTCAACCTCCAACAGTTGCATCATTCAAAAACTGACAAGTGGAAAGAGAGTGATGACATCAGTTACTTCCAGCGAAAAATAAATGAGGCACTTTGGAAAGGATACTCAGCTACGTGAATCACAATTTGGCTGAACATTTGAATAGCTCCTTTTGCGAAAACAGAATTGACCTATTAAATGGCATTGCTCATGGAGAAAAAAGCCAGCACTTTATAATAAAGAACACTATAAATACTAACCTGCCACAATCTTAGAAACAGTTTGCTCTCTGCAACTATGCTCAAGATGACAATTAAATTGTTTTTCTTGATTCGAGTCGGACCAATGGATCCATGCCGAGGTGGGCCCAGCTATGTTTTAATGTATTTTTTTATTTTATTTTTTGGTGAAGATATACAGCAAAACACAGATCAGTTCAATTTCTACATGTACAGCTCGGTGACACAGCTTCCATTCTTCAAGTTGTGCCACCTTTGTGACAGCCTTTTCCAGCTGTTTTCCCATCGTCTACACAAACTCACTGCCCTCTGAGGTTCTCCCGGCTATTTTCTCAAAGAGATCAGTGTCCAAACATGAAATGGGCAGCAGTTTTGCCGTGCCAACTACTGCGCCCATGGTTGTGACTCACGCAGCAGGATCTTGCTCTTAGGACGGCTCCCTCGAGTAAGCCCCGAAAACCCACTCTAAAAAAGGAGCCTGGGACAGCGCTGTGACGCCCTCAGAGCTTTCTGCATCTTTAGTGCCTCAGACGGGCAAAGAGATTTTAAGGAGGTTGTATAGTACAAAACGATGATAACGATCATAAATAAGATTTATTAAATAAAATGCTAAAATAGTGAAAAAACGTCAAAAAGCAACATATACATGAGAGTCATCTTGACTTTATACAGGGCCTTACATTTTTCAACTTGCACTCACATATAATATATTGACGTTTGTTGAAGGAGGGCAAACATTAATGCGAAACATTCTTTTTCACAACTAAATAGGGCTCTGTATCTTGCCTATGGAATTTTATATGAGCCAAGCAGCAGTGGAATTCCACAGTGCCCCCAACTTCACATAAATACTTCTTAATAATCTGATAAATGGTTAAATGTTTCCAGTACAATGGATAACATGCACTATTCTGTATGCTTGTTTCCCTGTGAATCATATCAAGTTTTATCAAAACCAAAATGAATAAAACTAAAACTAGTGAACGTGAGCGAATGAGACCACCACGCACAGTAAAGGCATCACGCGTCTGTAAAGCTGAGCAGTGAAGAACTAACTGGCATTCTCTCCTCCAGCGTGCTGCACGGGCCTAGCAGCCTCTATCAGCGAAGCCACACAGGAGGACAGTGAAGTTTAACGCATTTCTTTGTTACTGAACATTATTACTGATTTTCGTACAACACAGGAGAGAAACTGCTAGGTGGGATCAAATACCACGAAGGTCACACAGCAGATGGATGTTTCTGGACGGTCTGTTAGAAACAGACAGACCCAGAGAAGCCAGGGGTGAGTCAGCTTAACCTCATATTATGCGGAACAGCTGTGGTATCATAGCAACTACAAGTAAAAAGCTCAGAGGATTAGCTAACTTTGATAAGGTGCTGCTGTCAGGCCCACAGAGCAAGGCCACGGAGCAGCTAGGAAGCGTGCCTGACTATTCAAGGGGAGGGAAGAAAGGGAAAGAAGAACAGGCTAAGATAAACCAGCCTTCCATGCTAGCCCCATCCTGCCCACCCCCTACCCGCTGCAGTCCAGTCAATTCCGACTCACAGTGACCCTGTAGGACAGAGCAGAACTGCCCCATAGGGTTTCCAAGGAGCGCCTGGTGGATTCAAACTGCCGACCTTTTGGTTAGCAGCCACAGCTCTTAACCACTGCACCACCGATTCGCTTCCAGTCTGCCTCCTCTCTCTTAATAATTCAAGCGCCTCCTTAAAACATCATCAGCTGGAGAAACTGCCTCTGGCACATCCGCATCGTATTTCAAACTTTGGATCCGTTTCTCTTACTTCAACACTGCTTTTTCTAAAGTAATGTGGACCCATCTTTTTCTCCCTCCAGAGAAGTCTCTGAGGTACACCATCAATTAACTAAGGGCATATGGCAAAAAAACAAACGGACGTGAGACAAAACCCTTCACACACATCTGGGATCCGCAGTTTCCTTTCCGGGCTGCATCACCAAGATTAGGTTGAAGACTGTTATCCGCCTAAGGGGTGAATAGATCATTGATGGAAAATGCTAACAAAGGTCTTAAGAAGGCACTCCAGGCGGGAGGAAAAGGGAAAGGAAAGAAAAAATTATATATGAACTAACCCTAAAATTATACACGAACTAATCTAAGGGTAACAATCTGGCAGAACTTGCTATAAAGCATTTTAAACGGAAGTGCTTTAAAGCCAAAACTCTTGAGCCTGTTATAACTGGAATTCAGAGCTGATGAACTTTTATCCATTCCTCCTCGATGAATTTATTTAGAGGGAAGTGGAAAACAGGAAACAGTGTAAATGTCTTACAAGAATCTTTTTTTTTTTAAATGTTGAATAATATAATAAAAACCCGTTGTCGTTGAGTTGATTCCGACTCACAATGACTCCACAGGGCAGAGTAGAACTACCCCACAGAGCTCCCAAGCAGAGGCTGGTGGAGTCGAACTGCCGACATTTTTTGGTTAGCAGCCAGGCTCTTAACCACTGTGTTACCAGGGTTCCGATAATACAGCAGATAGGTAATTCATGTCCTCAGTGCCTCAGTCAGCTGCTGCTATCCTGACGGCGCTGACGGTTATCACTCAGCTGTTGGATTTGGAGCCAGACAACCGATTGGAATTTCAGCATTTCTATTATCTAGCTGTGTCGCCTTGGACAAATCATTAACATAAGCCCCAGTTTAAAGTTTATAAAAAAGAAATAGTAATCTCCTTTCCAGAGCCATTTTAAAAGAATAATGGAAACAAAAAGTTGCATATTTTAAAGAGTTACACAAATACTAAGTGGAATCACGTGACTCTTCCTCTTAGTGCTCATTGGTTAACTACCTGGCAGAGAATTCTGAGGTTGTTCTCTGCTGCTTTTGTTCTGTTTCCAACAATCCGTCCTCACCATTTCTGTCTAAAAATATATATACTTTGAAAAATAACCAGGCAAAATATTTGCCATTATTTTATTAACACTTAACCAAAGCTAACAAACTAGATTAAAAATTAAATCCAAATTTAATAAAGTAAAAATTAAAAAAAAAAAACTGTTCTGATATGTCATGAAAACTCAACAATTTTTTTGTTCCTACCAGTTGGTACTCGTAGCAGACGCTGACAACATGTACTGACCAAAGCGTTTACTAATAGGTTACTAAAATTATTCAGTATTTGATTTTACATTGCATGGTAATATAAGACAATTACCTATGCCCTTAGGTCCCCATGTTGAAAAGTCTCACAGCACCCTAAGGCTCACCCTTGTGACACTTATCACAACTGTAATTAAATAATGAACCATCTAATTAGGTGTTTGATATGTCTCTTCCTCATCAAAATAAAATAAAAACAAAACGAGTTGCCGTGGACTCGTGGCGACCCCAAGCGTTCCAGAGCAGAACTGCCCTCCATAGGGTTTTCATGGTTGTGGCCTTGGGAAGCAGATCACCTGGCCTTTCTACCAAGGTGCCTCTGGGTGGGTTTAAACCACCAACGTTTCGGTTAATAGCCCAGCACTTAACCGTTGTCGCCACCATAAATACAACCTCCAAGGAACAGTGTCTTTTATGCTCATTGCTATTTCCCTACAATCTAACAGTGTCTTGCACCTAGTAAAAGAGCTCAGAAAATTTTGTTAAAGTTTATTCCTTTACTAAGTTAAAATTTTAATGTAATTTAATAAAATAAAGTTTATTCCTTTAATGTGCTTTATTTGTACATTTTCTGGATATTTTGAGTTTAGGAAAAATAGCTTTTGTTATTAATACTCTAATACAGATTAACTGTACATATGTCAAAAAATATAAAAAAGAGAATAAAATTAAAATCACCTATAAGCCTAACGGCAAAAACAGCCAATACTAATATTTTAGTGTGCATCCTTATTTCCGTTCTGACTATTATTTAAAAATAGGTGTTTCTCTCAGATTTGGTTGGTTAAAAAGAAATAAAAATCTCAATGAAAGAGGGCTTAGCAATATTTCCCAAATGACAGCTTATTTCTAGGGTCAGTTTCACTAATTAATCAATTTTAGTAAGCAGGCAAGTCAAGCAAAGTCCACGTCATTTAATTAGGAAAATCAAGCTGATAGAATTTAAAGAGAGCAATCATCGAGAGAAGCCCTGGTGGCAAGGTGGTTAAGAGCTTGGCTGCTAACTAAAAGGTCAGCAGTTTGACTCTACCAGCCGCTCCTTGGAAAACCCATGGGGCAGTTCTACTCTGTCTACAGGGTCACTGTGAGTCGGAACTCATTAGATGGTAACAGGTTTGAAATAACTGAGAAACAGACAAAAGCCAGAGTAGACTCTCCTTTGAAACATAATTTTAAAATGAATGCCATTCACTTAAATAAGGTAAGTGCTGAATCAGGAGTTCCAAGGTGGTACAAGCAGTTAACACATTCAGCTGCTAACCGAAAGACTGGCGTTCACAGGAGTCTTGGAAGAGAGGCCTGGTGATCTACTTTCTACTTCCAAAAAATCAGCCATTGAAAACTCTAGGGAGCACAGCTCTACTCTGACACACATGGGGCTGCCATGAGTTGGAACTGATTCAATGGCAACTGGTTAAGTGCTGAATCAACGCAGTCTACAGAGTGTCATGGAGCTTTAGAGGAGATTTAAAGGTCTGCTAGTCAATGGTTGAAGCCCTCGTGGCCCACTGGTTAAGAGCTCGGTGGCTAACCAAAAGGTCAGCAGTTGGAATCCACCAGCTGTTCCCTGGAAACCCTATGGAGCAGTTCTACTCTGTCCTATAGGGTCAGTATGAGTCAGAATCGACTTGACAGCAATGGTTTTTTTTTGTTTTTTTTAATCAATGGTCAAACTCACAATGCATCAAGCACAAGGAGAAAGGTTTTCCTAACAAGGTAATATTTTATATCCCTTCATGCATTCCAAATTATTTTTACTGTTTATAACAACAAATATAGCTAATCTTCACTTTAAAAAACACGTAGGATCCACTGGAAAATATCTTCTTCATCTTTTTACCTCCCATTCCTACGATAGTTTGTTGAATAAATTAATGAATGAATATTTTGTTTAAATCTATTCTTTATTTTCCAAAACCACACATCCCCCCTGGGCACAAAGAAGTGAATTGTTTTTACCACATTATTCTAGACCAGGACACTGGTACATCGAGGAAGGGAACCATTATCCGACAGCTCATAACGCATGTCACTGTGAGGACTAAGGTGTGCCGACCTAGCGAAGCCATGGTGTTTTCAATTGCCTCATGTGCATGCGAAAGCTGGACAATGAATAAGGAAGACCGAAGAAGAATTGACGCATTTGAACTATGGTGTTGGCAAAGAATATTGAGTATACCATGCACTGCCAAAAGAAGGAACAAATCTGTCTTGGAAGAAGTACAGCCAGAATGCTGCTTAGAAGCAAGGATGGCAAGACTTTGTTTCATGTACTTCGGACATGTTATCAGAAGGCACCCATCCCCAGAGAAGGACATCATGCTTGGTAAAGCAGAGGATCAGCGAAAGAGAAGAAGACCCTCAATTAGACGGACTGACACAGTGGCTGCAACAATGCGCTCAAACACACCACCGACTGTGAGGATGGCGCAGGGCGGGCAGTGTTCCGCTCTGTTGTGCACAGGATCGCTGTCAGTCGGAACTGACTCAACAGCACCTGACCACAACAGTAACTTGTGCATTGCTGGTTCACACAAGTGCCTGTGTCCCTGTTAAACAGTGCATGAGCACGCTGGCTAAGGGAACAAGAACATCTGGGACACATGTGACAACTTCCCATGTGAGGCATGTCCAGTTCTGGTCCCTTCCAAGACCAGGCCTCATGGGGCTAAGGGCCTTGTGAACGTGGAGGTTCAACAGCTGCGTCAAGTTTAGGATTAGATTCTCAGCCAACTTCCCCGCCTGTGACCCTTCCCACTATGACCTTACGTGACCTGACTGGAGAAGAAATGAGGAGTAGGGGTGAGGGGCTGCTGTCTACAGAAGGAGACAGTCATGGTTGAAAATGTACAAACAAACACTAGGTTAAAATGAGTTACAGCGAAATTGGGTGACTGGTCTAACTGAACTCAGAATAAGGCCATTTACCTGGAGGAGGAGGATGAACTGTGGAAATCTCTGTATTGGTTTCATCATCAGACTATAGAGTGTGATACGGTCTGGACTTGACTCCTGGCACTGCTGCAATGAGAAAGCTTAGCTGGTGACTTGGATTTCAAGGCAGCAACCGTTCCCCCAGTCTTAAAGGCTTTGTACTCAACACCACAAATACAAGTTTTAGGAAAGGGTTCACTGGGGTAGTAAGAGCTAATATCCTGTCTTCTTTACGAAGGCGCTGGGTCTAACTCTGTGAAGAAATTTCATTAAAATTGGTTTTAAAAGACTTTCTACTCTTGCTGCAGAAGTCACTGATTATGCTGTGGAAAGCCCACATCTCACTACTGTAGGCTTCCCTGTGGGTAGTAAAAAGTCACCCCACAGTGACTCCAGGTGGTAACACTGGATGTCTGTGTACTGGACGGCAGGTCTGCCACCAGCAGAGGTTAGCAGCCCCTTCTGTTGCCTTTTTTTTTTTTAATTCAGTTGCCGTGGAGTTGACTCTGACTCATGGCAACCTCATGTGTGTCAGAGTAAACTGTACTCTGTAGGGTTTTCAATGGCTGATTTTTTTTCAGAAGTAGATCTCCAGGCCTTTCTTCCGAGGAGCCTCTGGGTGGAATGAACCTCCAACCTTTCTGTTAGCAGCCAAGCATGTTAACTGTCTGCACTGCCTAGAGACTGTACATCTGAAAAACCATCCCGCTGAAAACCCTATGAAGCACAGCTCTCCTCTGACACACACGGAGTTGCCATGAGTTGGGGTACAATGGATTGCAGCTGGCTTTCTGTTGCTTGGGCAGAAGAAACTCCCAGTGCCCAAGGTCTCTCTTCTCCTTGCAGGAAGGCAACCAGAGCAGGACTTCCCCACCTCACAGAGCATCTCAGGAGACGTGCGGTTTTGTTTGAGGCAAAGACCTGTGTGTCTGACCCCAGGGCTGCACTCTCAGGGTGTCCAGCCAATTCCAACTAAGGATACTGGGTAGTGCAGAAGAAAGAGCACAGACTGAGGCAGGCATTGGCTACTCAGCTCTGCTGGGTACTGGCTGTGTGAACGGGGCAAGTAATTCAACCTGTCTCTGCAGCTCAATTTCCTTAACTATAAATGGGGACTAGAAATATCTAGCTTCCAGTGGTGACAGAAGAATTATATGAGGCGGTGGGGGTGGTGTGCGTGTGTGTGTGGATGTGTGAGTGTAGCTTCCAATGTTGCTGGAAGAATTACATGAGATGGTGGTGGTAGTGTGTGTGTGCGTGTGTGTGTGTGTGTGTAGCTTCCAATGTTGCTGGAAGAATTACATGAGATGGTGGTGGTGGCTCTGGTGTGTGTGTGTGTGTGTGTATGTGTAGCTTCCAACACTGCTGGAAGAATTACATGACATGGTGGTGGTGGTGTGTGTGCGTGTGTGTGTGTGTGTATGTGTAGCTTCCAACACTGCTGGAAGAATTACATGACGTGGTGGTGGTGGTGTGTGTGTGTGTGTGTGTGCGCGTGTAGCTTCCAACACTGCTGGAAGAATTACATGACATGGTGGTGGTGGTGTGTGCGTGTGTGTGTGTGTGTGTGTGTAGCTTCCAACACTGCTG